AGGTATGATTGAGAATAAATATCTTTGCAATACAATAGATGTATTTAACTTGATTGAATATATTTGTCAGAAATTTCTGACATATATTTGAAACCTGTTAAATACATCATCCCTTGTATTGTGAAGATATTCATTCTTTTTCATGCCTTTTCTACATTTGTCAACATGAATACAGTTCATATATAACTGGATTTTGTTAACCAGTTCGTTACTTATTTTTTCATTGTTTGAAGCATGTTTCATTAGTGGGTTACAAAAATTATCACTTTGATCACTGAAACTTTAGTGCAGTAATGATTTTTCAAAGCTTTATTTTCTTGATATATTTCTTTTAATACAATTGTTGGCATGGTTTTATTTTTTTATTGTTGGCCTTGAAGTGCTATTTTATTGTAAAGTTTATGACATGTAGTTCTTTCCAGTTTTTTTGTGGCATATTTATTAATTTTCTGAATCATCAGACCCAGTGACATTTAAATAAAGTCACTCACTTCTGTAGTGTACCTATATATTTTCAGATTTACGACATGTAAAAGTTGAATTCTATTTTTGGAATGTATTTTGCCTGCTTAGACAGAGATAATGTTGCTTTTTATTTGGTTGATTACTTCTATAATTTTCTTCATTATGAAAACTTCAGAAATCAAAGCAATATTGTACAACATAAGAATGAAACCACCTTTAATAGGATATCATAGTTTTATTTGATTTATGACAATGATAATGTTTTTACCCCCTTAACCATAATGTTTTTGTAAGATTCTAATAAATGAGGAAGTATTGTATTGTGAAGAATGTAGGCTAGACTTGTACCCCATATTTGGCCACAATAAGCAGAAATATATAGATGAAAACAAAATGAAAGCTAGACACAGGTCTGTGATATTACATTCCTTGTTTTATTGATAAACTAAGATGTAGGATTTAGAAATTATCAAAAAAACTGGTCATGTTTAATGAAATTCTGAGATAGTGCTTTCTCTACTGTTGAGAGAGTTGTCTATAATACAGAATAAGTGCATACTAAACTATTCAGCTGCATTTTTCATTACAAAGGGTACATTTATTCACATATTTGTTAAATTATGTAGAAAAAGTGAGAATCTGTGGCTGTTATAACTTGCTGTTCCTTGGAAAAGAAGATTAAATGCACATTTACTTCCATCATTTAAGGTATTTTAAACTTTTCATTAATGACAGTTATACCAAATTGGAGAAGATTAGAGTACATGAACAAACATGAACATACAAAAATACTTCCACATGCACATGCAGGATTACATCCATGTCTCCACCTGCACCCACTACCCACTTATACACAAACATGTGCACCCACAATCTACTTCCACTTCCACACCCATGCTATATATTACACCCACCCCACCCCCCACCACTTCCACTCAAGCGCGCGCGCGCACACACACACACACACACACACACACACACACACACACACACACACACACACACACACACACACACACACACACACACACACACACACACACACACACACACACACACACACACACACACATGCGCTCAAACACACACACACACGCGCACACACACACACGCGCAAACACACACACACACACGCGCAAACACACACACACACGCAAACACACACACACGCAAACACACACACACATGCGCAACACACACACACACACACACACACACACACACACACACACACACACACACACACACACACACACACACACACACACACACACACACACACACACACACACACACACACACACACACACACACACACACACGCGCAAACACACACACACACACGCGCGCACAAACACACACACAAACATCACACACACACACACACACACACACACACACACACACACACACACACACACACACACACACACACACACACACACACACACACACACACACACACACACACAAACACACACACACACAAAACACACACACACACACACACACACACACACACACACACACACACACACACACACACACACACACACACACACACACACACATATATACATACACAAACACACACATATATACATACACAAACACACACATATACATACACAAACACACACACACATACACACACACACATATACACATACACACACACACATATACACATACACAAACACACACATATACACATACACACACACAACACACACACACACACACACACACACACACACACACACACACACACACACACACACACACACACACACACACACACACACACACACACCACACACACGCGCCCACACACACGCGCACACACAAGCACGCACACACACACACACGCACACAGACAGACACACAGACACACACACGCACACAGACAAACACACAGACACACATAGACACACACACACACACACACACACACACACACACACACACACACACACACACACACACACACACACACACACACACACACACACACACACACACACACACATATTACATATATATATATATTACATGTACAATTCTAATATTTATCAATATTCAAATTTCAATATATTATCGATATATACCAAGATTATAAACTTTACAGAATCAAAGTCTTTTTCATTCTAAACAGAAAGAAGCATTGGATATTGAGATGCTGTGGCCACATAATTAATAAATAGTCTTCCTTAGCCTTTGCTTCTTGGCATTAAGCCTGCTATATTTGGATGTTAGCAACGAGAGTTACTGTCTTCAACTTGGTAGTGACGGCTTGAACCTGTATAGTTTGATATAGCTACTGATAGTCAGTGTTAATACAGTGTTTTTTTGTGGAATCCCCAATGCCTCAATGGAACTGACCTATTCTATGTGATTTACTTGAACATACCACACAGTTAAGTGATGTTAGTGTAAAAATATGATCTTATGCATTTACTCAGTGTGCTGCTCATTTACATAGACTGTAACTAATGTGAAACTAGAGTTGCATTTTCGAAACTAGTCTACAGGTGAAAAGCACAGAAAATTAGTGATACCATTTTTCTTACAAGTAGAAAATAAGCAAATAGGGTGTTCTACTCTTAAGATCACTGTAGTAAAGAAATACTGTGCATCATAAAGGGACATACTCTTGTAAGATGCTGACTTGATTGTCTAATATTAGGATCTAGTAGACTTGTTTTTGAAAAGACAGTTTGCACAAGCACTTTTCAAATTTTATAGAAAAACACTTGGCTTGATAATCAAATCTCATTTGCACATTCAAAGTTATACAAATCAGTACCATGGTCTGCCATATCTAGAAATTAATGGGAAACTGCTCCTGCTTTACAGTTCTTCAAAGTTGCACTTTTACTTTCTGTTCATAACCTTCAAAACTAGGGAAGTGCAAATAATTAAATGTGGCCTTCTATTCTATGTCCTTTATAGGCAAAAAAAAAGACATTGAAGAACTCAGATATGTAATAGAAATCCAATGAGGACAGACAATCATGATAGTGGTAAGCCTGTCGTAACTTTGTATTGGTTGGAAGTGATGGGTGTGTACTGAGGAGACTGCCTTTTCCTTACTTTATTTTGACTTGACTTTATAAAAACATTGTCTACCCAGTGCTGTAGAGAATAAGTTGAGTTTGATTTGGTAAGTAGACGTCTATTGATTCATTACGTATGTTTGGAGCTTGTATTATCAAAATGATGAATCATCTTTTAGTCAAATCTTATTTTGTATGTTCATCAGTACATTTATGAATATTGTATACTTCAATACTATATGTAAATAATTTAATTTTCTTTCACATGATCATTTTATTTCACAAATATATTTATTTTGAAATTGAATATCCTATCCATTTTGACTTTAGTAAAAAGCATTTTCTGTATGAGTGAAAAGGGTTAACCATTACATAGTCCATATTATAGGACCTGATTTAATTCTTATCGGGTACTGCAAAAATATTTTCTTTGACTTTGATTTATAGCACAATAAAATGGGAAGGGTGTGAGCTTGTATTTCTTTCCTACAGCACAGAAAAAATATAAATTTGGAACTGTCTACAACAGAATGATCCATGAAGGTCATAAAAGAGGATAGATGGGGTGAGGAGAGAAAGGCAAGGCAGGTGGATGAGCAGTCACCAGAGAAGTAAAGTGTATGTAACAGAGGTCCTGGATTAGCAGTGGTTAAAGATTAAGGGAGCTGTATGGGACAAGGAGAATAAATGGGTCAGTAGTGAAACTTCACATACGTGATGAGAGCTGATTTTGGAGATAAAAGCTCATAGAGTAGAATGCAGAAGACAGGGAGGAAGTGTATCTATATATGTAAATATATGCACATTTATATACTTGATCATCATGTATCTATAAAAACTTCACA